TTTAAATAAATTCAAAATAAATAAAATTAAATCATGTACCGGGTAAAAATTCGTGTACTGAATTTAAAATTTGCATAGACGTAAACACGAAAGAATCGTTTTTGTGGTATTTGCGCTCCCATTTCTTTTTTTTTTTTATTATTATTATTAACAAAAAACAATTAATTACTTTTTATTTTTTAATTAATAAAATAAATAAATAGTAATAAATTAATTAAATAATAAACAACAACAACAACGACAACAACATTATTACAAATAATAAATCAAATACCGGTCGTTAACGTTATTAATAAACAAATATTTAATTAGAGTCGTCATAGAGTAAATAAATTAGAGTATAAAACTTACCGAATTTTGTAATTGATTATTATTATTATTATTATTATTTCCAATTATATTTAACCGTAAATCACACAAAAAAAATTATTATTATTATTATTTATCCATTTTTGTAAAACATTTTTCGTTTAGTTTTTAAATTACGAACAACACAAATGAAAAATTAAATATTAAAACTCGATCAACACGACAATATCGTGTGCCGACAAACTGCGAATGATTCACTAAATGATATCATTTGTTTAAATCGCGCCTGACTATTCCATTTTTCTTCTTACCTTTTCGACTAATAATGGTGGGAAACGCGACGGACGAGTTTTGCGTTTTTCTTCATTGCGCATGCGCAGCCGCCATTTTTTTTTACATAAAAGCAAAACGTCGAGTTAAAATTTACGCCCGAAAAATTCAGGTTATGCAATGTATATACATTTATGTATGAAAAATGAAAATTTTTTTTTTTGGGGGAGGGGAGGGGAGGGGAGGGGAAATTTAAAATTTCTATTAATAACATATTTTTTGGAAAAAATATTGTATTTAAAAAGTAAATTTTTTTGTTCCTGTCGTTATTAATAATAATAATAATAAATATTACAATCTTATTTTAGTGTAGTAATAATACATATGGAATTTAAAGTTCCAGGTTCCAGGTAATGTTATTCGATGATGACTAATAAAGTTGTTTATAATCAAGGTACGAGAGTCGTCATTGTACCTATATCACGTCGTCTGAATATAATCGTAAACAATGATATCAAGTCATTCGATTTCACGGAATTTATTATTACATACATTTTAACTTAATGATTTTGACTTTTAATTTGACTTTAAAGTTTAATTCAAAATGAATCATTTATTATTTCTTTTTTACTAATAATAATAATAATAATAATAAAAATTGTAAACTTTTACTTTTTACTTTCTTTTAAAGTTCAGTAGCATAAATAATAATAATAATAAACACACACACAATTTAAATAAAAAATTTTTTATCTTAAATTTTATGTTGTTATGATTATATCATAGACCTAATTACAAATCTATATAAATTTTTTTTTAATAAATAACACAACAACAACAAAACATTTAAATATATTAACAAATTTATGTATTATTGAATAAATAAATAAATATTTTAAATTGGAATTTATATAAATTAGTTAGTATATAATCACTTTTGTTTTTAAAAAAATTTTTTATTTTTGGTTAAAGTCCAACACAATCAAGTTTAGCTCCCATTCTTCTTAATGCAATTATTGTATTACAGCTTTTATCCATCTTTTTTTATAACGTATCTTTTTAATTTTTTTGTATTTATTAAATTT